AGTCACAGTCACAACTTCATACAAGAGCGGTAAAAGGTCAAACTGAAGAGGCTTTTGGATCAGTTTGGGTTTACCGGAGACAGGTGGGATCTTTAAATCATCTCTGTCATATTTATGAACCAGTTCTGCTTCTATGGTTTCCTCATCTGAGTGCTCCTCCTCATGTTCAGTTTGAGAATCCCTCTCCATAACCTCCAAACCGGGGGCATCAGAGCCTGCTCTCAAATGCACAAGGTTCAGTTCACAGGTGTCTTTGACTGGTAAGCATGACTGTGTGATTTCAGGCTGACGTGCCCCCTCTCGCAGCGGGCTCAGGAGATGTGGGTGCTGTTGGCCGTCCAGTCCCTTTCGGAGCACTTTAAAATGCTGAATAGCCATGGAGACATTATCTGAAAAAGCAGTATACACCTCCACATTTAGACTGGAACCTAAAAGCATGTCTCTGACTGACTCGCCCACTTTGGTTTGGGATGACTGAACTTGTTTCAGCAGGACCAGGAGGCCATTCCTGTAGATGGGGTTATCACTCCTGTCCAAGTGCCTCCTCACTGACTGAATCACCAGCTTCATTTGACAAATGAGGCTTGTTGCATGTTCACTGAACAGTTTATAGCTTTGCTCTCTGTACGCTGCGTCACACCCATGCCGGTCATTGACCATCTCATTAATAGCAATACTGGTGAACTCTCTCACATCCATTACATCACAGAGAGCGTCTTGAAGCTGACTATTCTCTTCCCCCCATTTTTGACACACCTCATGAAGCTTTTGAACAGTTTGCACTGAATGATCTGCCAGCTCCAGTGACAGAGGTGCGATTCGAGATCTGAGTCTTGTAAGGCATGCACGCGAGTTCTCCACATTCTCCATACTCTTTGCATCAACAGCCACAGCTGAGATAAAATTTGCCACTTGGATTATTTTATCAGTGGAAGATATGAAATCCTCAACTAGTGGCTGAATAAAGTTCAGATCCATCTTTGTAGAAGAATGTGCAACCAGGATCGGTCTCATCACACTTGAAAGTTCCTCAGCTGCAGAAGATGCTGTAAGAAATGTGTCCAAGACTTGATAAAGAACAGCAGTCATCAAAGCTTTGTCAAGCATTTGTATTTGTTGCACCAACAAAGGGCAGGTTTTCTCAAGGGTCTGCTCAGCATCACCACAATCTTCTGAGGACTTTAAAATCATTTTTATGTCTGACCATAATTGCAGGATATGACGACAATGACCTACCACTCTTTGCTGAAACTCTCTACGAGAAGAGTTTGCCACAACCATACAGTGAAACACAAGATCTCTTATCATGCTGTCAAAACAACTTTCTTGGAGTGAAGTTATGGAAGAACTAGTAAGTAGTTGCAACACACTGTTCCTCCTCCCTGTGTAATACCCGCAAGGACCCAGTGATGCACTGTGGCATTCACTTTTCAGGGTTATAATAATGTCGCTCACTGTGGCCTGCACCTTGTTCAGAATGTACCTTTTGGCTTCCTGTGCCTGCTCGCTTGTAGGGTGTTTGATGGTTGTGCACATGGCCGTGTGCAGCATGGAGATGCACTTCCTCAGCGTCTCTAGGGAATCAAGAAGCAATTTGGTTTGTCTGGGATCCTGTAGGGAATGTGCTCTCAAAACTGTCAGACTGCTCAGGAGAAGCAGAGCCTGAGAAAACACCTGGAAAGATTTGAGCAGAGACTTGATGTCTGAGGAGGAGCCAAGCTCAGAAAGACACTCCAAAACTTGATCAGCAGCAGCTACAACTCTCCTTACAGTAGCATCATCATCCACTGACAGAACCTAAGAACAGAAAGACAGATGAGGTTACTTCTTATCGCTGCTGAACAGTTTCTTATGCTTTTTTAGCCATGTTGGCCTGTCATTCAGTCAGCCAGTCCACAACTTGCCTCCTGGCTGAAATATCTTAACAACTATTGGATAGATTGCGATGAAATGTGGTACAAACAGTCATAGTCCCCAGAGCCCACTGACTTTGGAGAACCCCTGACTTTTTCTCTAGTGCCACCATGAGGTTGACATTTTAGTTTTTATTGAAATATCTTGACACTCTTGGATGGGTTGACATGGAAGACATTCATGTCCCCAGAATTGTAATTCAGATAGTGCCAAGATCAGGTGAAAACTATAGTTAATCTGTCCAATACTTTGGCTAATGACAAAATATCTGCAAAACTAAGGACATTCCAATCAGCCTCAGCTACGTATACTTTAGGTTTAGTGCTAATTAGCAAATGTTAGCATGCAAACCCACAACTAGGATGGAAAATGTGGTAAACATTATACCTGCTAATGATCGAGAGGGTGTAATTATCAGCGTGTTAGCCTTGTCACTGTGAGCATGTTAGCATGCTGATGTTAGCTCAAAGCATCACCGTGCCTATACAGCTGTTAGTATGGCTGCTCTTAGTCTTGTTTATATTTCACACACATTAACTATAACGTATGGGCTTAATAAATATGATCACATGCAAACATGTCAAATTTATGACTCAATAAGAAAAATACAAATGAACACTAGGTTTGTGTGCACATAAATCAAATACTGATGAACTAAAACATTTCTACATTGTGCACCATACTGTGGTGACTTGTATTGCAGGATGAGTTCATAATATTGTGAAAACAGCAATTATGGGTAAAGACAGAAGTCCCCAATCATTTACAATCTCTTTCTAAACCTTGGACAATGATGGGAAACAAAGCTGTTCTGTAAGACCTATTGTCTGCGGAAAGTGTTGAAATTTAAATTGCACAAATCACTGTATTTAAATATGATACTCTAGTGTGCTGAAACACTGTTGACACTGCAGATCTCAAAAGCATTTCCTATTACCAATGAGAAGAAGATGATGTTATACCAGCGTAGAGCTTCTTATAAAGTTATAAAACATTATGACAGTGTAAGTAACAAAGTGTGGTAACTTTTGTGTTCTTTTTCCAGTTCACAAGCAATAGCTGATGTAAACCCGTTTTGTAAATTACTGACAATCTGTACACTGGCATGACCAGTCAGTAGCTAACACTGGAAAAAGTGCTCTGTCCTCACAAATTAACATAGGGTATTTTAAATTGTTATTTTGTGAACATAGCAAGTGTAGACAAAAGATCTTGGATTAATAAATATAATAGATATATTAGGTGTAAAATTTTTATACAATAGTATTCCCATTTAAGGAAACATCTGGGAAAGTAAAAAGCAGACGCAGCTGTGGAAGATGAATCTTCAGCCATTCCTTTCTCCCTATCTCTGTTTATTTTAAAAAGTGTTATATGTTAAATTGAAAGGTATATTTAGTAACATACTTCTGGCCACATTTTAAACCAGGAGAAGAAAAATCATACTTTACTTTGACTACTCCCAGGAAGACATTTTGAGTAGCAGTGATGAGTTCCTCTCTGTGCTCAGCCAAACTGGGCTGGATACTGAGTTTCTGGGCTGCCAGCAGCACATGCTGTCCAGACACTGTCACTGACTCTAGCAGGGATGACACCTCCATGTGCAAAACTTCATCCTCTGTCTCACTTATTTGCCTGCAAGTAAAGAATGTAGTGCTTACACATGTCAGTCTCTTACATAAATTAAAGACCTCGCATGTAGGAATGTGACTTTTATGGACTTGTACCTGCAGTCTTGTGCATACAATTTTTATTCTTTAACTCAGCAAACTCTGCATACCTTGCGGCCACCGCTGCCATGTTCTCAGTAGCTTTAGCCACAGCTTGAGCTGCCCCCTCCAGTTGGCTGAACTGTTCGGGTCCCTCTGTACTGTCACACAGCAGCACCAAGTGGCATAAATAACTTGCGATTGGTGCAACCACCCGTTCCACTGCCGCAGTCCTGATCAGCCCGTGATCCAATGGAGAGGACATAGTTAGCAGAGTGATTCTCTCTGGTCAAAAGAAAGTGAGCAGCTCCATTTGTTGCGGTGTTCCTGCTATATTCAGTGTGGTCGCTGTATTAATAATGAATTATACTCTACAGAGGAGCTTGTGCTTGATTTCAGTGTTTCATAGCAACTGGAGTCACCTGACCAAACAAACATAGCCTCCTCAGGTTTAAAGAGGGATTGACTGCCTCTCTTACTTGATATATTGTTGTGTAAGCAAACATGCAGCTGGACTGCTCCGGCAAATAAAATGTACTATACTGCAACTAAAGAATATTTTCAGTTAGTTTTTTACTTCAACCAACTTAGTTTTTTTTTTCGTAGCATAATTGATGCTGAACTTTTGTCATTAATTTTGTAGTTATAGGAAACTTATTGAATTGCCCAAAAGACAATTCTTTTCTTGTCTTTATTGTAAAATAAAAAGTGAAATAAAAAAACCCCACTTAAACAGAGTTGTCCTACTTCTTTTTGGGAGTTTGAGAGTCTATAACATTTAAATAGTAATCAACTCACTTCAAAGCCTTACATGATAGTGATAAGTTTGTACCATTTCAGAAAAACATGATTGGTTCATGTGAATATTTGTTACAGTAGTACTCTAGCACATTTGCCAAAAAGACGCTCACCTTTGCTGAATCCACACTCAGTAATCTCCAATTTTGTACCAATAGTACAAAACCCATTGATGTGAACAGTGAAATTGCATATCCTCATTTTTGAGAACCTGGAACTAGAGAATATTTGGCATTTTTGGTTTAAATTCATAATCAGAATTGTTGCTGATGAATTTTCTGATGGTCGACGAATCGTTTCAACTGTAGGGTGCACACACATACTGTGTAAGTAATGCAAAGGTAGAACCTTATAATTAAAATGCTGATTTTGGACAAGAAACTGAAGTTCTAGCAACTATTACTGCAAACCGATTCTAAAGACTTCTCTGAGAACTTTAAAAATATATTCTTGTGTTTTTGTCTGCACATTTAGAGCAAAGCAGCCAGCAGAGAGCACCACACACCACACACAAAAAAAGAAGGGACCCAAACAACAACTACAATGGACTCATGTTGACAAAAACATTATACAGAGCCATGGAATTTCACTCTAAAATTTATCAACAGATAAAAATATACAGCTTTTAAACATCAAACATACAGCACACTATAATGGAAATGATATTCAGTGACAGTAGTATACTCAGAACAAAATCCCAAATAACGGCGTGATTAACGGTGACAACAAATATACAAATAAAATATAACCATCACAGTTAAAATTTACCAAAAAAATGTCAAGTGTCGGTTTCTCTGCATACGGGTATTTAACAGATGCAGAGGGAAGATGTGAATGTGTACAGTATATGCTGTCATGCCAGTGGAATTAAATGGTAAAATAAAGTGGATCAGACAACACACAAAAGAGAGCCAAGCAATCATAGTGACCCATAAAGTGTCATAGCACTGAAGTCTCAGAGAAAAGTGTGAAATATGTCAAAATATAGTTTTTATTCTTTGGCAAAATTAAATTCATGACACTGCATGGTTTCATCTTAACAATCTGTGTATCTCTTTCAATATAATAGATTATCACCCGAAGGGGCATTGATGAATTCTTCTAATCTGATATCAGAATGTATTTTTTGCAGCATAATTTAAGTTTTATGTTATTTTGCAATCATAAAGCTCTTAAAATGTTTAAAATAGCTAATATTCCTACTGCTTTGGGGACATTTAATATAAAATCTACTTCACTGTGTTCAGCAAAATTTCATTCACAATCAAGTCCAGCTTTAAAAAGACTCTCGAGTACATGTGGGGTAACTTTAAGTACCGAGGAGCTGTGAACTTTAATAGTGGCACATTTTCAGGGCACTGACATTCCTCCATGTTGACTTAAAATAAGCTTTTCCCGGGAGCCCCAAAGAGCTCGTTTATGTGTAGTGATTGAGTGCAGCACATTCCCACCTATTTTTAGGGTATTACTCATGCCATGGGCCCCTATAAATGACTGTAGGTAGACTCCCATTGCAGACTTTCATGTGGCCGTGGAGAGTAATGCATCTCGTATTTCACGCTTAAAATCCAATGCCTAATAACATAATAGTAAAATTAAATATGGTCTGTACAGGTGAAGTCTGGAAAGGTTTTGGACATATATTATGATCAGGTCGTATGAATCATTTCCTACAGCATGTCAGTGAGAATTTACAACAGAATCAAGTAAGATATCATCACTTGAACCTGGGGACTTTTGGGGGCCCATAGAAAAAGTCAGCTACATACCTGAGCAAGAGTTCCTTGCAAAAACAGCTTCAGATAATTAGCTCTACTGCACATTGCACTTTCAAAGCATTTGTTAATCCAAAGTATTGCATAGAGCAAAGATTAAAATGAAAATTTGTCAAAATCACTTTTATCTACTTTTATCACCTACAAACAACGTGGTTAAAAGCCAGACCATAACAAATGAATGGATGGAAAGTCACAAAGCTTGAAATGTGAAATTTGAGACAACTCTGACAACACTTGCGGATGACATAAGGACACAACATTTGAATCACTGTGTGTGGGGGTCTTAAACACACTATTAGCTATGGTTGATTATCTGTGGGAGGGAGGGACAGTCAGATGTTTAAAACATATTCTTAAGTGGGAAATAGTAAAGAAAAGATACAATCTTTCACCCCCAAGAAGAAATGAATATACATACAACTCCAATCATATACTACACAGGACATATCTTTGGCATAAAAAGTAAAGCTATGTAGCCAAGGCATTCATTCTTATCAAACATCAGTGCTTTTAGGAAAACATACTGTAGATACAGTCTGTTCTAAACCTCAACTCTTCTTGAAGCCCACTTTTACACAATATGGCTTTAAGTGTATGTATAAAAATAAATTTGCTATGTAACACAGCCCTGAGGGTTTTGTTGTCCACCAGTATTCATGCCGTCTCCACATCCCCATACGGATGTGGGTCTCCATCAACAGCTCCGCTCTGCTGGCTGGGAGTTACCTCCTTTGAGATTAGCTGAATTCCACAGCAAGTGTCCTCTGGCAAGCCACAATGTCACCTCAGAAGCCTGTTTCCTGGACCCCCACCCACAAAAAAATATCAAGTCTCCAAAAAATATGGAGAATATTCTTCTCTTCCACATATGGAAGACTGAAGGGCCTGGTGCCACTAGGGCGGCTGGGCTGCGAGACCATGTGCTATTGGATCCTTCCTGACCCAATCCCTAATCTCATTTGCTCCTCTGGGACCCCCCCCACTGCAAATCTCAGTGGTTCTTTTCCATCCAGTCCCAGCTTTCATCACTGTCCTTCCTGTTCTTTTCAGCCTCAATAATCTCTCTGTAGCGCCGACGGAAGAATCCCATCTGTCAAAAAATGAGAGAGACAAAAATTAGAGTGGTTAGTAAGGTGGATCTGTGGTCAGATCTGACTGTAGGAAGGAGAAACCAGTGGTTTTGTATGTTTGAGCTCATTAACTACAAATCACATATTACTGCAGACCATTTTCCAAAGCACATCATAACTTATTAGGGTATATTTTCCTCTCTTGGGGTGGTTGTTTTTTTCAAAAATTACTTGAGATAGCTGATGCATAGCTGTGACCGTGAGCTCGACCATTAGCTGATAATTTCACCACATTTTAGCTCATTATGTCAGTAGTGGCAAATACAGTATGTCACGCTTTAAAGCAATAGTTTGAGAAGGAAATTAGCTTTTTTGCTGACATGCAGAGCTAGATGAGAAGATAAATAATACTCTCATGTCTGTATAGTAAATATGAAGCTACAGCTGGCAGCAGGTTAGCTGGTAACAACACAATGTGGTGCTATGGGCGGTTTATGTGCCAAGTAACGTCTTGGCCAAGAAACAGGCCCTAAACCAAAACATTGTCATTTTTCAAACATTTAGTCATTGTACCGATTAAACAACAGAAAAAAATATAACTTGCTAAATAGTGAGCTTTTGAGGTGCTTTCAGGTGGATTCTGGACAGAGACGGGCTAGCTGTTTCCCTCTACTTTGAGTAATTGTGCTAAGCTAAGCTAAGCTAAGCTAACCAGCTGCTGGCCGTAGCTTCATATTTACTGTGCAGACAAGAGAGAGGTATTGACAATGAATACGCATATTTCCCAAATTGTTGATCTATGATCTATTCCTTTAAATAATCCAAAAGAGGTGTTGGTGTTAATTTTTGAATAATTTAGAAACAGTGTTGCTATTACATAGCACATACAAGTTAGTAATTAGTATTTTTCAAATGAAAACCTGATAACCAGATATTATCTTGGCTTTATTATTACTAAATTATAGGGTTCCTTATTGAACATATTTGTCAGTGTTATGTATTTGCTAAAAAGATATTGTCTGATCCAATATGTAGTTTGATTTTTCAACATTAAATGATTGGCATTGGTATCAGTCACAAATATCCTGCCGTCTGGCTATATTATTTTATCATTGTCATTGTGTGTCCCTTACAAATGTTTGTTTTATTCATTTTTAAAATAAATTTGTATTTAAAGTTGTATTAAATTAAAGGAAGAGTTCTATGACGATGCTCGTCTTTTTTGTGTAGTAATGCAGTTGCGAAAAGGGACTGTTCTAAAATCATAAAGTCCATTCAGGTGCGCTCTGACAAGACTTATGAGATTCAGCTGCAGAACAGCATGGTTTTTAATGCACAAAAAAGGATTTACAAGCTCTCTTGCTTGTCGTCTAGATTTTATTTTACATAGCTTGTAGATGTGATTCATTCAGCAGCTGACTCAAGTAGGGATTTTTCCCACAGTGAATCAAATGGAAAACAATGGACATCTGGGAGGTAGGAAATCAATCAAAACGTAATCTAATTGACATTTAACTTACCTATAACATGCATTTTACCAAGTGTAATATAAAGGCGATATGAGAGGATTGGGGGGAGCAGTAGATTCTTGGTGTGTATCTAAACAAAACCATGATGCCTCTCACACTATGACTCCATCCATTTATCTGCGTTTGACTACTAAAGTTTATTGATACAGACCTGTGCTCTCCTCAGGCATTTCCTGAAAAGAGCAATACAGGACATGTGCTGCTCTTGTAAGTGGGGTTTATTTTGGCAAGAGCTGAGGATCTGGGGATTGAGGATGAAATGTATCCCAGGACCAACATTCCAAAGTTTCGTTGTGGTATTCCCGGTGTAAAATGAAGCAGTGAAAAAGAAAATAATTTTTGTGCTAACAGGGCCTCTGGACATCAGTATAATTAACTTTTAAATTCTTCTTTCATATGAGTAGTATGGTGTCCTGTCCAGTCTGTGATTTGTCCCTTTCATGGTTGTTCACATTCCCTCCTCTTCCCCTGCCTCCAGTTGTCTCTGTACAACTGGGTACTGTGCTGATGTCTAACCAGAGCTAGGCACAGGGTTTTGGGCTATGACACACAGGTTTGTGGCAACTGCCACATATTTACAATTGAAGTTTCAGCAAAATGCTGATTAGCAAAAAGATATTCATGTGTTTACCTTCCAGAGTAGCACAGCTAACAGCAAAAAGATGAGGATTCCCACCAGCAGACTGATGGCAATGATCCATCCGACTACGTAACCCCTTGGCTCCTGACTGTGGAGAGCCTCGAACACCAACTAAAACACAACAACACTTCAGTCAGTGAGTCACGTTCAAATACAACACACACACACACACACACACACACACACACACACACACACACACACAAGAGTACTCATTATGTCATGTGCTGCCAATGATGCAATACAGTGCAACAACAAGACACATCTTATTTCAGTCTGTTTTAGCTGAGGAGCTACATGTAAATCTAAAACATCACTATACAGCATGACGCTGGACACTAATGGAATTTTATAAAGAACATATTCATTCAATCAATCAATCATACAAACAAGAAACACAAACAGTCCAAATCAATGTAGGGCCAAAATCAGTTTATACTGTACACTTATAATGTTTTAAGTAACATCCACTGAAACACAGTTTTATATTTAATTCTAAGGATAATCCATACTGTTTAGCCTGAGGTTTGAACACACCCAGAACAGGACAGGATGGTTACGGCAACCTTGCCCTATGCGCAACAAGCAGCTAGCAGCACGACTTGTAAATATCTTGTGTACTACAAAACATATCTTTATTCACATAAGTGATATTTTTAGATGGTGAACACGGTTAACACTATAAACACTAAACATCAGCATGTTAGTTATTGTGAGCATGTTAGCATTAGTATGCCGACGTTTAGTTTTAAGCACAGAGCTGCTAGCATGGCTCTTAGTCTTCATCATTGCTTCCAACTGTCTAACAAGACGTCGCCTTTCACATTTTCTTTTTATCTGTGGCTATCAGTGGCATGAATGACATCATAGAACCAGTCAGTAAGCTTGACCATTACTGTTTCATAATGCACCACTCTTTATGTGTTTAATGCCAACAAGTATTCATATTATTAGGTCAGTGCAATTCAAAATATATTATCCACTCCCTTTTTCAGTTTGGAGTAACATGCCTTTAAAATGGGAGGCTTGGCAACTCTTAAAAAATTGCCTGGTTCCACAATAAATAAGAGCTGTTTAGGCTGTTTCCCATGACATGAGTGAACACTGACCTGCTGGATAATCTGTCACTGACAGAAAACTCAGTTAACTTAACCCATTGCACACTGTAATGCTTAATGGAGGGAAGTAATGTCCAGTGACAAATGCTGTATTTATTCTAATTACGTAAACACAATTATTTTAAATCACTTTCCAGCAGCAGTGCCTTGATTAGATTTTTTTCAACAACTGCCAATATTTTGTGAGAATCTGCAGTTCTACTTTGAAAAAGTTATTTTGAAGCTATTTGATACTTCTGTACATGAGTCATTTCCAACACAATTACTTTGATTGCTTACATTTATTTGCACTGAATTAACAGCGGTTTCACTTGAGTGAAATAATGCATTACTTTGCGCCACAGCGAAGCCTACTTTAATGTCCGCATTCAGGCCTTAAATGGAAAACAACACATTCACTGGGTTCATGACTTAGATGTGTTTATTTACTAATGATCTTAAACAAAGGTAAATAATGTGTAATCTCCCAAATGTCATATGAGCCTGCGTAATTTGTTACTGCAAACAATTGTTGGACTATTTCAGAAATGACTGAGGAACTTCACTGCTTCAGTGTGCAGTGCTGCAGGGGCTTTGAACACAAATGTGGCATGCCATGCCAAGTGTGAGCCGAGACAAAGCCAAGTGGACAAGTGAAGATTAATCTCTCCGTTGAATAGTTTCCCACATTAACACCTCCCCCTTTCCTCCGAGCTCTGGAATCTAACTGTTGTTATGCATGCCAAGGCGCTTGAGTCTACAGAAAAGATGAAAGCTCTACTGGTCGTTGCTCTCTGACTCTGACTTTCCCAATTTAACTTGTGCAATCTGTTAAATCTGGGAATGTGTGACTGAATCTGAAGTTCATTCAACAAATTTTTTGGATGTCAAGTTTGTAACTTGCGTACTTACAACAATTCTTATAGATTTATGAGAGTTTCTTTACACATCACGGGGTGTAACAAATGAGCCATTAACAATACAACTGGGTACCACAAATTATACTTTGCAGTGTGTACTCTACCCAGCAGGAATCCTGAGGGAAGAGGTAACTGTGTTTTCTAAAACCTATGAGGGTAATAGCTGCTGGAATGAGCACACTCACTAAGTGCTGAGAGAGCGGCATGGTATGGACATATTAATGGCAGGTCTGAATTTTCTGAGCACCTTTGAAGCTCAGGGTTAGCAGGGCTGCAGCCCGGTCAGCACCCTAATCACTTGAGAGATCCCACTGCGAGCATGCTGGTGTCTCAATATAATCATCACATCTGATCTGGTGGGCCATTCAATCACTCAGCAAACAACAGCAGGGGGAAGGTGTGTCCTTGAGTGCAGCTGAGGACCCTGGAAAAAGGGCCAATAGAAGTGCCACCATACTGTATACCCACAGACCCCAGCTGTTCCCTGGGCTCACATGATCCACAGTGGAACGCATAAGCAGCTCAAGGATTGTCTAACCACAGCATGATGGACTGTGCATCTAAAGAGAAATATATATATATATATATGCTTATTGATAGATTCTGCCAGCAGCAGAGCTATGTAGTGTCCTTCAACCAGAATGCCAGGATTCAAGCCTCAGTTAGCATCTGTCCCATCACAGTGCCTTTGAGAAAGCAACAGTAGCCTTACCAGCTCTGTTTCACAACTTAGCCTTTAAATGTCTTCAAGACAGTGTGTAAAGGCTTTTACTGAGTGAACAAGGTTTGAAGGGTCAGTTCACTCAAATTAATTACATGTGTTACTGGTCATGCACACTAGTGTATAGTCGGTTAATCATTTTTGGCTGGAAACACCATTGATGAGAGTGGTGAGAGTGAACCAGAGTAAAGCTGTGGGCTGTAAAAACCAAAAACAATGAGGTGAAAAACACTAAAACAGTAAAAACAGCTATGGGGAACTGAGTGCAGTGATCAGTCTCTTAGGTTTGTCATTCTAAGCGATTACTTTCACAGTACACATAATCTGTGACACAGTACACTGTGACCAATTGTAAATATAAAACTATTAATTAGAGCTGCTAGTTTTAAACTAAAATCCAACATCTGATACTCTGAAGCTGCCAGACATGACCTGAATGTGATTTTTAATGTTGTTATTTTGTTGCTCTAATTAACCTTTCATCGCATTTTGTCAAAGGTGGCGAAATGATAGATAGACAGTGAATTAGCGGTTCATGATGTACTTACAGAAATGTCCTCTGGCAGGCCCTTTGGCACCTCCACAGCCCTGTCATTTACTTGCACGCTACCCCTTGTCACAAACTGGATCACAGAGGAACTATCCTGTGTGTTGAGAGAGGGTAAATTATTGTTATAATAGAATCATAATAACCTGCAAGGAAATTCATCAAGCTGTTGAGACGTGTTTCTTACCCTCTTAAGAATTTCAGTGTTGAGAAGAAGTTTTATATCTATGCTCAAAGCTTCTTCTTTTGATTGTGGACCCAGACTGCAGGAGATTGTCATACATGCTCTTCCAGGCCGATCACAATCCTTTAAAATAAAGACAGAGAAGAAGAAAGAAAGAGAGAGTGGGAAAGAGCAGGAGAAAGCGTGCGGGAGAGAGAGATATGTCTGATAAACAGATGTTGCACTCGCTAAAAGAACAAAAACAAGAATCCTCACAGGGGGTAACACTCAGTGACCTCTGAAATGTCAAAGTGCAACATGAGGGCTGTATATTTACCAAGACTTTGCGCCCTGATTTGGTGAAGAAAGCAAATAGGGAGTGGAAGATGCTCTCTCTGTCCTGGGGGATGGTGCACGGTGTCGGGTTCCTGTGAGGGGTGCAGTTCCCTCGGCCGTCGGCCACCTGAAATGTGAAGAATTTAGGTCAAATCATATCCAGTGAACATAAATTAAGACATAAGCAAAACCGAGTTGAGTTAAAACAGGACATGTTGCATGGAGCAGGAGTTTTGTCATGTTTATGTTGCAAAGACAAGTTTGGATTTGGGTTTGACAGCAAAAATGTTGACACAAGTACTTTTGTCACCTAAACTTGCCCAATCCTATTATTGTTATGAGGGCTCACAGGAAGTTCTCCCGAAACAAGAGGCTGGTACCCCTCCCAGACAGATTTCCCATATGGAGTGATTTAGTGGTGTCTGGTTTACAGCCCACCCCCATGGGAACACTTCCCCTCTACCCTCTCCTCGGTCCGACCTGAATCTCTGGAGGTGGAAATCTCCTCTGGCCTTCCTCATTGTCTGCTCTGTCGCCACCCAGCATGTCTAAGCTTTTATTGTCGCGCTTTCTCATGTCCTGTGTTTCTGCTGCCTTCACTGGTGTGAAGATTCATAGGCTGCACTAACTTTATCCTGGCCTCATCCCTCACGAGAACAGAGTTTTCACAGTAAATAATGAAGATTGAGGGAGTTTGCGAAGAAAAACTAGAACATATGGTGCAACAGTCAGGAACCTGTATGTCATGTCTGAATAAACACGGGTCTGCATAAAATGTAAGAATATCTGACTATAAAATATAAGTGTGCAAATGTCCAGTGTGCCACAGACTAGACAGCGTTTATGATGTGTGGTTCCAGGCTGGGATGGTACGGGCAGTAGCCAGCTCTGCAGGTGTCCCATTCCCGTTTCGTGCAAGCTGTCTGATCCCCTGAAAGTGATTCCAGATGGGTTCAAGGAGGGTGGGATACAGTCAACCCCATCTGCCCATTCACAGTAAATATAATTATAAAAAAAAAATATATAAACAGCTTGAGCTCCCCCGCAATCTACCTATATGAAAGGAGCAATGCAAAGGTTAAATAAACATTTAAACCCAGCGGGAGTATTGTGTTTCTTTATCTAAATGCAAAATGCTGTGAAACAAAATGGTTTGCCAGCTTCAGAAGCAACATCAACACTTTCGCTTAAATTTTCACTGGCCCAGGGGTGCCTCACACTAAGCAAATTGCCCATGCCATGACAAAAAGCCCACGGTTTAGCAGCTTTCTGTAATAAAAATGTCCTCTGAGGTGGATACAGGCTGCTGTACCATGAAGAGAAGCAAGACCGACAGGCTTAAGCTGGATAAATGAGCTAAAAATGTGGCGGCCGCAGGTGATTAATAATAAATAATGATTTGGCTGGATAAATAATGTAGATAGACTGCTGTTGGCATCCACCTGTGTTTCAATGATGTGGAACATGTCAGCTCCGTTGCCAGCCAGCCGGTTAGGTATCCTGATGTCCACAGTGGAGCCAGGCAGCCTGCTGGGCCCCTTGTTTATGGCCTGGAACCACATCAAACAGAGACGGGGAAAGATGGACACAAAGGAAAAGAGGAGTGAATATATATAGAGATACATGTAAAAAATACTGAAAATCCAATATGCTCTGTGCTGGCTGTACCTGGAAAGTGAGATTGAGAGGCTGAAAGTTGCACGCCATCTCTTCCAACTGGACGAAGCGCGAGGCATCGATGGAGTTTCCGTAAACAAAGGAGCTTGGCGTCACCACACTGACAACAGCCAGAGTGTTCAGAAGAGAGAAAGAAGACGATGCAGTAACATAAAAAAACTCTTTATTGAAATGGCCACGGAAATAATATTTAAAAAAAAGAGCTTCATAATAATCTCTGGCTTCAATCACATTATTAGCTGGACAGCAGTTTTCTTGAGATATGAGTCAGACGTTTCCAGCTTTGCTCTGAAGCCTCCCATCTCATTAAACACCAGCACACACAGCAGCCTTATCAGATGTCAGACTTCTGGCGGATTTGGGCTGTTTTACATCTTTTTCCCTTCTCTGTGAAGCAGAGCTATGATAGAGCATTCAGAGATAAGGCTTTTCAAGTTGACATGCTCCATACTGACAAAAGCACGCCCTCTTCTCCAGAGAGCCAACAGATGGGAAACCAGTTCCAGTCTCCCTTTGAGCCGTATAACCTCAGACAGCTTTAAGTGTATATAACAGTAAATTCACTTGTGTTCATGTTTGTCATGTTCTTACCCAGTAATAGTCGTGTCAGTCTCGTGGACCAGAGGGATGGACAGATCCAAACTGTTGTCAGAGAGTTTGTGCTCAGGATTGGCGCTACAACAAACAAGGAACAATTAAGTTATTTGGTCATTTTTTCAAACAGTTCAGGATTAAATTCTACAAATAAACACCCATGAAAAACGTATTTACTCTACTATTGTCAGGTATGCACTGAAATGTTAAACTCTTAATAATTACCTTTTTGCTTGAACTAAGAACTGCAGTGTGTCATTTATCCCAGAAAGCTGACTCGTGTCAAAAATCACTGCAAAATGATACTGAAGAGAAAAAAAAAACAGAATAAACCAGAATGTCACAACCAGATGCTGCAGTTTGTTCTCCATGCAAAAATGCAGTCACCATGAGGTTTCTACACACCAATGCATTGTGCTTAATTTGAGATGACAACACCTCTAAAAATTGTATGTATACTGCATGCAGTTTTGACATTGTGCGATGACTTTAATCTTGGTTTGAGCTACCTTAGTCTGTGCTCTCATGAAGGGAAATCCCACGCTGCATTTGAGGAAGTCCAAATCAACAAGTCCACAGGAAATGCCCTTCTCTTCCTGCAAAAAGACAAGATAGACAGAGAGTAAGAGGAGGAGATAAACACAGACAGAGTGGGTGTCACTCATGGAGACACAAGACTCAAAGAGGAAAACAAGACTGTGACAGGGGACAATCTGTTCTGATAAGTTAACAGGAAGAAATAATTAGCGATGTATTCGGATTGGTAAAATACATGCAAAGATCATAGATAATTTACTACATATACATGGCAAAAAGCAACTGTAAGACCTCTACTGCAGATTTAAAAACACACACACACACACCTGCCAACATTTACAGTAAGATCAAAGTTTATTGTTAGAAACTGATTTCTGTAAGTAAAAGAATAGGTTCTCCTTTCTTATCGAAGCTCTAAATTAAGTTAAACGAAGAATGTCCAAAGCGGTGATGGCGCACACACACATCTTAGCGGGTGGGTAATTGGACAACCTCCAGGCTGTGTGTTTGGAAGCTTGTCTAAACAATATAGAGCTTCACCGGCTGTGCTGTGTAAACACTCGGGCCTTGACCCTATGAGGAGTAAGAATTCTTTTAGCGAGAGTTCACTGAGAGGCTGGCGGCTGAGCTTGTGAGCTGGGAGCATGAAAGAGGGAAGAGATACTACAAGACTTCAATGATAAAAAAAAAAAAAGAGACAGACTAGCACTGCTGGACCATAGAGTGGGGGGTTTAAGGTAAGCCATACAAAACGTCTGCATGCAGGGCGCTGCTGTCGAGTATGAGCCTGTGTTTATAACATGTTTCCAAAGTGATAAAGAAAATGGCCATGACAGTTGACAGCCTCTGCTCCTCTGACATATTTAAAGGTAGACATCCATCCACGAATCATCCACTGTCCCATTCCCCTTATTCAGCAAATTCCTAGTGTAAGTCCTGGGCGTGGCCGTGCCCTCTGTCTTCATTAAGTCACCTTAAATAAGCGAAGCTGCCCTTTACATGGAGGCTAGCGCGAGCCCTGGGGGATGGGTGGGGACCCCAGCACAACTGGCAATGAAGGAATTTCCTCTATTTCCTGTATTCCTCCGTGCTGCTGTGCAAACACAGTGTGTCCAAAGGGGCTGTGCAGGATTGGGGAAGTCAGCCTGTTTCCCCATCATCCACCTGGCAGCCCTTGAGAGGGAGCAGAGCACTCAGACATATGGCGCGTTGTGCCTCCATGGGGAGAAGAGCGACAAAAGTCATTTTGCTGAGCACTTCTTCACTTTCTTTCTCTTGTCTTACTCTGTCAGGAACAAATACATGCAGGGATTCTCACAAATGGCGGGCCCATTAGATATCACCAGGATTGTTTACCCTGCTTTAGTGTCAGCTGAAGCATCTAGTAGTACGTCAGTGTGGATGACAACACACAGGAGCCCCGTTTGCTTGTTCTGTATGTCTCTTTGTGTCTCTGACCACTTCAGTATTTGTACATTTGGCTTCCGTCTACCTTTTTCAAGTCATTGCCTACTTTATACACAGGCTAGAAGGCTAGAGTAAGATGTACCTTTGAATTTCATAACATGTGCAAGGCTGTACATCATGGCCAAGAAAATCAGCCATTCGTATTTTCTTAGGTTTGAAGGTCCACTGAAATTCACAACTTCACACATTTCTCAGTTGGATTCCCAACTTCTGGGCTTTTCACCACGGCACTCATTTCTTTCAGCTGTTAAATCACCAGAAATCAGCAGTGGAGGAACTATTCAGACCCTTTACTTAAGTAAAAGTAGTAATACCACACAATAATAATACTCCATACAAGTAAAAGTCCTGCATTCAAAATGTAGTGAAAGTACAAAAGTATATCAGCAAAATATACTGAACTCATTGGCCCCTTTCAGAGTGGCATACTGTATATTTATTTAGATTAGCAGGTACATTTTGTGTTTAAAATCTGCAAAGTAACTGACTACAGCTTTCAGATAAATGTAGTGGAGTAGGAGTATAACCCATTGCCAGAAATACAGCGGCACAAAACATCTGCCACAGCTCCGCCCTTTTAGAAAAAAAGACAACTCAAACATTTAAGAAAAAAAGGAAAACACAGAAGCCGGTGCAGCAGTCTCTTGGGAGTGAAGGCAAGGCTTCTGAATCCAATTCACCTCCACAGCTTTCTGACAGCTTGTGTTGCAAGAACAACAGACAGATAACACACCCCGCTCTTAAATATGAGGGGAGTGCAAGTTCACGCTTCGCTCACTGGAGAAAAAGCCTCAGGGGAGGATTGGGAGCTGACCTTAACTTTGCGAAAAGGGCTCACATCTTCACCTTGGACTCCCGTAGCAATTAGAAGCGACTCAAAGAGCATACAGCAGTAAATCTGCTCGTGGCTGCTTTGTATTCTTTCATACTGTGCACTTCCTGTTCCCTTTGTGCAGCAGGCCACCCTGACTTATCAGGTTCCTGAACAAATTGAGGCTCTGCGGCTGCTGGTAACCTGATGCTTAATAAGTTCATTAGATTAGCCATGAAACTCAAACGGATACACTGTTTTTCTAATATTGGCCTGCAGCATGTATTCTATTTGAATTCAATTTCAGCTTTGTTGGGGGAGTTTAAATCATGTCACAGGTTGTGCACTTTACACAGATGGTCTTATCCATCAGAAGGGTGCAAAAACCCAGCTGGAAGATAAACATGAAATCCATTATGAGGGGAAAAGCATTCATGATGGATGCTGTCCCCTCTAGCATCTGAAAAGCTCGCTGTCTCGTGTTGGAGCACTCCATCCGACGTGGCGTCTCTCTCAGCCGTGCGCGGACCTGCTGGACCTCTTTGCAACAAGTGAGCCAACAGACGTGAGCAGAGAGAGAGGCGGCTGATGTGAAATCCATCTACATGCAGCGTGGTGTCGAGGAAAATCTCTCAGGTTTAATGTGGGATGGCAGTGGGTAGATATGTCTTTAACAGTGACAGAATGCTGAAATCGTTTTCTGTTGGGGGTCAAAGAGTGCAGAGGAACCGACCTGATCAATATCTCCATGAATTATCCTCACTTTACATACTTGTATTTAGCGATTAAATATGGCCCTTTGAGAGATGTTTTGTCATGAGTTATACGATTTGAATGGTACATAAGTCAAGCTTGTGGATATATATGAAGTATGTGTGTTCTGCTTTGTTCTCGTGCACACGGCTCATATGTTGTTGACACGGTGTGTCAACCTTGAATAAGTCAGAGAAGCGTGTGACAGGTCAGCCAGAGGAGCTGACCTATGAGATGAGACAGCTGCTGCTGCTGCTGCTGCTGGGGCTCTCCTGCTCTGCATCCTTTCATCTGCAGGGCTGCCTACATAGCTCAGGCAAAGTTTATCTGTCCCCTTTTTGTATGCTTCTCTGCTGCACTCCTGACATTTAATCAGTATTTTAAAATAATGTATCTTATAGAAAATGTACATCTCAGTTGAAAACGAATGACATTCGGCTGCGACACGTGTGTAAAATCTGTCTCTCTGTATCATTCACTCTGGGTTTACCCACATCCTTTGAACCAAACAGCCAAATACATTTCAGAAATAAACATACTGCATTTGAGTAAACAAACAGAAGATGCTTCAAGAGTGACAGGAACAACAGACCTTCTGCCAGAAGTTGATGTAGAAAACCTCTCTGGAGAAGTTGAAGTAGATGTTGGTGTCGTAGGCGTCATCCCCGGCGTTGGAGATGGTCAGGTTCAAAGAGACGTTTTTCACTCCTCCGAGGGCCAAATGGGGTATGCTGTGCAACCTGATGGGAACATAAAGTAAACAATGCATTTCAGAGAATAAATAATCTTCTTATAACAGCTGTGGAGTGTCACTGGGGGAGCAGTGAGCAAAGATTTATATCAACAAGGAATTGACATTTGTTTATTTAATTTTATTTATTTATTTTTACTTTAAAATGTAAGTAAACAAAGGGGGGTCCTTAAAATTGAGTATTTGTGTGTAGTAAAATTGAGAATATGTGCAAAAGGCGACTACTGCTTACTACGACAGACATATACAGTCTCCTTCAATTTATTGGAACGGAAAGACAAATTCCTTTTTGTTGTTCACTGAAGACATTTGGGTTTAAGATCAAAAGATTAGTATGAGACAAGAGTTCAGAATATCAGGTATTTCCTGGTATTCACATCTAGATGTGTTAAACAACTCAGGACATATCACCCTTTGTTTGAACCCACCCATTTTTCAAGTGAGCAAAACTATTGGAACATGTGACTGACAGATGTTTCTTGTTGCCCAGGTGTTGCCTTTTAGGTTGATTGTCCAAACATTAAATAGCTCTGCATGACTAGTCTAAGTTCTTGGTTCAAACCTATAAAGACTGCATTTCCTGTTGAAGAGGATAAACCAACATGAAGACCAGAGAGCTGTCTATGGGAGAAAAGCAAGCCGAGAAAAAGGAAAATCGACCAGAGCCATTGGACAAATATTGGGCATAGCAAGCACAACAATTTGGAATATCCTGAAAAAGAAAGAAACAACTGGTGTACTGAGCAACAGACGTCGAACAGGTCGGCCAAGGAAAACAACAGTAGTTGATGACAGAAATATCATGAGAGCTGTGAAGAAAACCCCCAAAACATCAGTAAGTGACATCACCAACGACCTCCACAGTGCAGGGTGAAGGTATCACAATCCACTGTTGGAAGAAGTATCAGAGAGCAGAAATATAGAGGCCACACCACAAGATGCAAACCACTCATCAGCAGGAAGAATCGGAAGGCATTCTGGAACAGGCTCATTAATATTTATTGATTGATTTATTGAGCAGCAGAAGGAAGTCAGAAGTGGACAGAAACGTTTTGTCTGCCAATTTACGCAGAAACATTGAAACTAATGGGGAGGAAGTTTATCATGCAGCAGGACAATGACCCAAAGCACACTGCCAACAAAACAAAGGACTTCATCAGGGGAAAAAAGTGGAAGTTTTCAGACTGGCCAAGTCAATCACCTGACCTTAACCCAATAGAGCATGCATTTCAACTCCTTAAGAGGAGACTGAAGGGAGAAACACCCTGAAACAAACAAGAACTGAAAGAAGCTGCAGTAAAAGCCTTGAATAGCATCACAAATGAAGAATGCACAGTTTGGTGATGTCGATGGGTCACAGGCTTGAAGCAATTATTGCAAGCACGGGTTATGCCACCAAATATTAAATGTTATTTACTTTTAAGATTATTTGTTCCTTTACTTTTGCTCACCTAAGAATGCTGTGGTCTAATACAAACGGTGATATGTCCTGAGTTGTTTAACACATCTAGATGTGAACACCAGGAAATAAAAGATGAAATTCTGAACTCTTGTCTCATACTCATCTGTTGATCTTAAACCAAAATGTCTTCAGTGAACAACAAAGGAATTTGCCTTACCATTCCAATACTTTCGGAGTGGACTGTACTCAGTAAATGTACAGAAAGCAAAAGATCCACAATAAAAAGAAAGGGAACTCCCTAAGTATGGAAAAACATATGGATATCCTCCAAGCATGCGTCATGGTTCCACTACCCACACCCACATGGCCTATGACGTCAGCTTGCTTCCTCAGTACTGAAGAAAAAGGCCAAGATAGAAAGTGAGTCTAAACTATTAAGTTGAAGGTTTTTACCCAGAGAGCAACAGCTTCCCATGAAGCCTCAGGTCTGCAGCACAGTCATCTGACAGGCAGTTCTTCTCAAACCAAGTCTGGAGAGGAAACAGTAAAGTACACAGTTAATATGACCTCATGCTGTCCATGCACGACACACACTGACTCTATGTTCAGACTAGGGGGCAGTATTGTGTTGTTGTTGGAGCTGTCCGGTAGATTTTTATCCAGGAAGGCCCAAATCTTTACTCTATCTGATCCCTCTTTTAATCAGTCAGAGTACAGCCTTTGGTTTACGGCTAAATCATGAAAGGAAACTTAAGTCAAGCGGTAAAGTTTGATGTAAAGATGATGAGTTTAAGATAAATGGAATCTGTAAGCGCTGAAAGACGCAAATCCCTCCGCTTTTCAAGAAGTGCAGACAGTGGGGAAACACATGTGGGGCAGGTTAGAGGTGGTTGCAAAGAAAATAAATGAATCAGTCTTTTTGGATTCCACTCAAGAAAAGCTAACACAGACAATAATAAGCTGGAAATTAACACCAAATCATTATAACCTCAATTTGAGCTATTTCCTTCATTCCTTCTGCGGAAAGACTTGACTTTGTTCTTTATAATCAATGGAGGACATGAATGCAACCAGAATCTGAATTAGTTGAAAATAACGGAGTGATCATCCATTAATTCATAAATATATCAAAAATAAGACTGAAATATGGCAATAACCATGGTCTTGTGATGCTCATTTTGTTGCTCAGAATAATAAATGATGTGCTTGATTTGGAAATGGCTAAAATATGTGTCTCACAATGGTTTCTTATCTCTTTAATGCAACTACTAACAACATATTCTCCACATAATTACTGTATCAGATTTTATTGCAGATAAAGAAGAATATGACTGGTCAGGGTAAATTTTGAATAATCTGTACACACTTTGTTTGTTATTATATTACCATCTGGTAATTTCCTTTCACCACACAAAATCAGGTATTGAACAGCCCTGAAAGCTTTGACACCTTAACTTTAGAGGATTTCTACTTACATATATTTCAATAATATTAATCACAAAAACCACATAATTTCATACCAATTCCGATGTGTTTCAGTGTTTTACCTCATTCCTCGCTGCGATCTTGTTTCCTTTCCCCCATCGCAGCACCGGAGTGAGCGCGGGCAGGTCTCGCTCCTGGTGTCCTGTAAGCATGTGCTTGCCCAGGCTGTAAGCCACCTCGAATGTGATTGCTGTGAACACGTCCTTCACATCTTTCTGTTGAGAGCACAAAACGACAAGGCTATTGCAAAGAAATTGTCCTGCCATAGACACAAAGCTGTTAAAACTATTTAACCTAAAAAAAAGTCATTTAACAGTCTGGTTGATTATGGTAATTCAACATCTTTCTCCAATTGACGCCTGGCGCAAAGATTGATTACACTGCAGATTACTGGAAGATCTTACAGTCTGGATATGATTTTATCACTGTGCCAAAGATCCACAGGGAATGCAGATGTAAGTATGCGAAGGGACCACAAAATCATCAGAACTGGTTTAACTGGACAACTCTCTCATCAGTCACCATTTCTTATTTTTGTCATTTTGCTGAAAGTAATAAAAGCTGGGCCACTAAGTTCTTAGCAAAAGCGAACACGTGGATCTATTTTTTAACCTTGCTGGCACGGCCTCTGAGAGATATCTTTGAGTTTCTGGCGGCTCCATCTAAGACCACAAAAGAAGTGCTTGATTTGGCATCAGGTTTGGAAACAATACAGACAGAATGAAAACAGAGAGCTAAATGTGATCAAATCCCATATCTTCATTAGATGACAGAGCTGAAAGACGTACATGGGAAAAGCAGATACTGATGTCTCTTTTTAATCTCTTCTGCCCATTACAGCTACACTCTCGCTCTTTGAAGGCGGCTTGGCGGGTCTGGCTCTGGTCTTTGTGTGTAAAAGCCGCAGCAGAAACACACACAAGCTCCATGGGCAACCTGTGTCCCTTTGCCCAACTGATGTCTACCAACATGGAGCCAAACCCACAATGTAAACACAAAGGGCTTCCATGGTCACTTAGGCCACTCGTTCTTTTGCACTTTCTCTCTTTTGTTCGTTATCGTTGCATTTTCCAGTGTCCACCCACCCATCCTCTTTCCTCAGGCAGGCACAGAGCCAGACTGGGCTTTGAACACTTTAGGCATCTCTAGCGGAGAACCCACCCAACTCATCAACAGCAAGAGAGTTATAGCAGGAAAGAGCAAACGCCAGTGCAGGACATGAACAGACAAAAACAGAAGATTCGGTGGTCATTTGGGAAATGGTGCTGCACACAGATAAACCCATGACCTTGCTGATAATGATTTCGTTATTTAGTTGAAAATAGGGCTGTAAATTACCTCAATCTTCATTATCAATTGATCTGCCTAATTTTTTTGATTAATCAATTAGTCATTTCATTAATAAAAAGGTACAGATCCCAAGCTGACATCTTAAATTTAATCAACTTATCGCGTCAGCTCTAATTGAGAGTGACAACATTAAATGGCCACTGCCACAGCAGAACTGGTCAATAATGAGGCTGAGTAACACATGAGGTCGACCTCACATCCATCACTGGACTACAGTTCATGCCTCATTGGCCTTATAGAGACGGTGTTGTTCTAGTAGTATGTCGGCTCAGCTGGGAGGTAACATGACACAATGTTGTAGTCAGTGCTGGACTAGCAGTGGCCATTAAAGCAGAATGCTTCAAATGGCCCCTGTCCCTTAGCCTCTGAGTGAACTGACCCCTGGGAGTTGACTGCTCGGGTCTCCAGCTCCAAACTCCCACCGCTTATCTCACATGTTCACAAGCCACAGGAGAACAGGGGGGACATAATGACTTGAAGTTAAATGTGGTGTTTTTGCAAAATCTCATGCTTAAACAGTGACTTTTATGCATAAGTAAATAGGCATAGTGTATCCATTAAATTAGTGCTCTGTGGAGGGATTTCCGCATCTGTTTTAACAGACCATCTATTATTGCGCACATACAAGGTCACTTTCTTCTTGAAACACAGGACCACAGACTGCCAACTCGCTAAAGACTCCCAAGACTTACAGCAAACTCATATTAGGAGTGCCGGAGGCCATTCAGTAACACTTGGCCGAAGCCTTTATTATGCCTTTTTCAATGCTGCCAATTGCCCCACCCGAGTCTACGCCCCTGGCCTCATCACCTACTCCCTCCTGATCCTGCTTTTAATTTCTGTATTTATGGAACAGAGGAGTTCCTGAGCTCCAGCTGACAAGGGCACAGGCTAGTGTTAACTGCCTGATACCTATAATTTTATGGAAAGGAACCCAAGAACTGTTCCTTACGTGCTGGTGAAGTCAGCTCACACTGTTTTAACCTTTACTCAAACATAGAGGCCGCAGGGGTTGGTTCCTGGTCTCAGATCAGATAAAGCAGTTCTGAGCTTTATGTTATTTAAAGACCATTACAATGAAAGGGGAAATATGAGACATGTTTATATCCATTTAATACAGAAGAAAGAAGAAAAAAAAACATTCTTCCTCTTACAAATGAAAATTTGAACTCATTAGCAATAAAATGCACCCTTGATACAGCCCCACTTGGTCTGGTATGACCAGTAGATTCTGGTAGCTAAAGTCAGCTAATGTTAGCAAACTATAGATAACTGACATCACTGAGCTAGTTTGCTGATTTTTTGACTCTTTTCAACTTATTACACTATGTTACACTATGTTTAAGCATGTCACAGATAAACACTGCACTGTTTTTATCATGAACGTATCAAAACAAGAAGTTAACACACCATATCGGAGACAAGCTTATCATTTCCTGCTCTGCGTCTAATTCCGTTTAGTTTTTGTTAGGTCTCTACGGATGGTGTCTTGAAGGCAACTGACCGAAAAATGAAGAGGAATTAAATGTGCCATTACTTGTCACACAGTCTCACAATTTTTACTTTCAAATTTGCGTCGTGGCATAAGTTTTTTGTTAATATCTCTGATGTAATGAGTTAAAATAGGCCTGTTGTTGTGCTCACTGATGGTTGTTTCCACCGTGTGGAGAGTCAATCGATCAATCAGAGCTTTGTAGGCGGGACTGGCAATGCGGATGTCATCTTCCTACATCTTCTTGATAGTTACCTAGCTTGTTGGTCGGCTTACAGAAATAACACTCCAAATCTATTTCTTTGATACTTGTGAGAACTGTTAACTGCTCTTAGCTTCCATGTTCACTGAAAATGACGTCAGCAAGATGGATAGATTGGATACTACTTAAAGTGAAGAAAAATGAAAAAATCCTGGTTAATGATTCTTTCAGCCCCATTCATCAAGTAAGGGGTGTGTATTCTGCCTGGCACACTGTCTGTTTTGATACTGCAACTGGGGGAGTGCCCATGTACACATTTTAACAAGATGAAGGATTTTTTACACTATCCTTAGAGAGGGAAATACTGCCAATATAAAGGTACATTTACTCTACAGTGACCTAAAGGTAGTCTGAACCCAACTCATCATCCCATGGACAAAATTACTTATTAATGGTTCCAGTCATACTGTAGAGATGCCAGGAACTTCTTCTACCTTCCAGCAGTTCCCACCATACTTTAGAAACTATACATTATCAAAATATAGGATGAGCAATCTGCATGTTATGACACACAATCTCTCCTCCCTGTATACATATTCATATAGTTAACTCACTTCATGGGAGACTCTGCAAGACACTGCATGTTTAGAAAGAAAACAACTGCTAATTAAACCTTCACCTACAACACCCTCCTCTCTGTGGAACAAGGTCTGTGCCAATATATTATTTCAGTGTTAATGTTCACACTCAGGATCCATTTATTTGGGACAGCAGAGCATAACTCCCACCTTTACCAACCATTGTTTCCCCGTCTTTCCCACAAATCCATTCTTTAATGCTTCAGGTTTGTTTTTTGATCACAAACACTGCTACTGTCTGAATTAATCTGACTTAGTTGAACATATTTTATAGATTTCACCCTGAACTCTAGTTGAGCTGTACTCGAGCTATACTCGATAGTGTTGCAAGCTCTGGTTCTCACATGTTAATCTGATCAACAAGATGGCAACCCACCAAGCTGCCCCTTCATGCTCACAGAGCAGCTCCACCACAGTGGGTGCGGGGAGGATGACGTCAAGCTGCAAAAGGCTCTGATCCTCAGTTTAAACGCCTCACGCTTGACTGAAACACACAAGAGCTCCTCTCTCAGCCAAACCATCCCCTCAAAAGCATATAGCTTAAGCCTGGTCATGGGAAGTCTTTATTAACCGGCGAGCGAAACGCACACACAACACTCCATTTTAGGACAATAAATGTTTGGATGACTTGCAGGTTGAGGCCATTTTTATTCAAGGGCTAAACGCCAGGGAATCTTAGATTAAACGGAAAAAAGCTTTTAGTTAAGTGAAGAAAGGATTCAGCATGTCAAAGGTTAGGGTTATGTGTGTATACTGAGACACAAGAAGACAGTATACACAAGAAGACAACTTGAAATTGAAAGTATTTACAGTAATGTCTGAAGCATATGGAAGTCATGCACTTAAGCAGCTTATCTCAGCTTGTCCTTGAAAAAAGTGTAAAAGCGAGACAATTTCTGAAGTTTTTAATGTGTAACTCTCTGCCAGATTGACTACAGGTCAAACTATAGCAGCTGCACAGCTCAGAATAGGTTTGCAGATGTCAGCTGAGTAGGAGTAGGAAAGAGTGCCATCGAATTAGCTAGAAACCTTTTTGGAGGAGTCATGTATGGACAGCATCATGCTGTCTGTAAAAACGATCATCATCCTCCTAAATCTTTCTGCTCACACGTGTCATGGAAGAAGGATCAGAGTCTGCCGCTGCTTTGTCACCATACCTTCTTAAAACGACAAAAATGCAATCTCTGATCTTAAACCAGAAAACAAATCCCATGGCTCATATTTTATTTAACAGAATTATTTTTGGTTTGATCCCCTCCTACTTGATTTATCTGCTTCACTCATATCTAACACCCACCCTTTACATCCTGCTAAAATCCCCCAAGGAGCAGCTCCTCAGTTCAGACGGCTGTTGCCTTGCGGATTTTGTTTGTTATTTTTGCGAAAAACTTCCTCCAAGGACATTGTCAAGGACTTCTTAGTGAGTGCCGCTTCCTCCAAACCTGGTGATTTTGTACTGTTTTGTTCTTTATGTGCTTTTCCTCTTGTTTTGTTAATTTAACTATGCCTCGATGTCTCAGTTCCTGCACACAT